TACAGATAAAAGGTTCAAGGCATCTGGCAACACTGCTTCCAGTCACTTCGCTTCGGCCTTTGAAGGGGGAGGTTGTGTCGCTTACGATCAGAATATACATTACGTAACAGGACGACGTAAAATTAAAATGGGAAATAACCGTAATAAAAATAAGAAGCGTCTGGCTTGGCGTTAAGAAACAGTCTCAGGTCTAACGACCTTTCTACTTACAGTATTAGTGATTACAAACATGTCGGTACATAGCATACGACGCGCGGGCAAGTGGGGACGAAATTAGAATTTGAGTTGACTTACTATATCCCCTTAAACTGCTATTTTACGCTTGTATTCTGTGAGAGCGTGATTCTTTCCCGGTCGAGCCGACCCATTCGTGCTAAAACCATAATATAGCTGCAGCATGGCTCTACCACGTATAAAAGGTTGAAGGGTATTAAAAAAATTAAAAGCTTCTCCCAGTACTTCCGTTTAATATACATATGTCGATAGTTTTATTATTTTAGATATTTTTGTAATCTAGTTTTTGAAAATAGGTAGTAAACAAAAATTATTATGGATATTTTATAGAAAGTGGTAAAAATATTCAGTAATATAAATTTCCAATTAAATTTTGATAGAACTTTTGTCATATTTTTTAAATATATAATTAATGAGACTTTATTAAAAAAATTAAAATAGGTATGTATCATAAATAATTATTTATCTAAATATTTTCAATCGTGCCATCTTTGTGAAACTCTTTGCATTGTGTTAAACCGGTCAGGTAATGATTAACTTCAAAAGTAGGCCAAAGTTTAATTTAATTCTCATCTTTAGTCATAGATGGCAACGTAAAGACTGCAGAATAAAATTATAGATGGCGCTAACATCAACTAGGCAAACTATAACTTTAACTAGAGCTTTTTGTCTCTACATTGCGTAGTTCCATTTGTGATAGATATTTAATGTTAGATTATTGTTTAAATTTGAGTTTAGATTTGGTTTTCTTTGATGAATTAGATTTAAAAAAAAATCGATTGTTTACATCAGCGCAGCGTAGCCAAGGGGTTCGGTTTATCCCGAGAACCCGTGATAGAGAAGCTGTTGTGACTTGTGAACGCGAGAGCACGCGGGAGCAACGCGGGACCGACAGCCGCCGGCCGGCGGCAGTACAAACTTGTTCGCCGTGGTGACAGGTGCCACGCTGCCCCCCTACAAGTTACATACGCTCGCGAACCCATTCTTTTGTTTATAACACTTGTTGTTCACACTGTTCAGGGTTTATATATGAAATGTAAAAGAGTTTATTAAGGTACCTGTAACCTTAAAATAAAATGTGAGCTTAAGAAGTGTCGTGAGAGTGTTCAGAGAAAATACCGGCTCCTCAAGTCATGTTCTCGATTACTTACGATTTGAATGCAAAATTTGCCTCAAAGTACTTCCAAAAATCTACTTAGATTCCCGTATGGATTTCTATGGTGTGATAACAAGTTGAGTTGGACTTCGTATTCAGGTGAGTGAAATAGAAGTGATACTTACTGTTAGAATGAGTTTTTGTGATTATCTGTCTGTGTTTAGCTTGTGAATTAGAGCGCAATACTTGATGAGTGCTGAAGTGAGAAGAGTTTGAGTTAAGGGATAATGGCAAAACAAACTACTGTTGTAGAGCAGTGAGCACGGGCAGTGCGAGTCAGGCTGGGTTGAATGGCCGCTACTGTGACCGTCACCGTTCATCCAATAGCCGACAATTGCTTTGGCAAATCTTATTTTATTTAGTAACCTAATATTAATTTATTTAATTACGTAAAATATTGCTATTTTGAAGCACATTAATTGAAGAGAGAATATAAACTTCTTCATCATTTATTCATATTATTTGTAGCAGGATCTTATAACTAAATCTTCTCAAAAATATTTGAAATCTTAAATTGATTATCACATGTCCATTAAATTATTTTTCATATTTATCTTCCATTCATACATCCGTTTATATTTTATTTATTACAAAAAAGTGTTGGGTCACGTAGTGTCGCAAGAGCGTAGCCGAAATATTAAAGAATAACTGTAGAACTGCTTTAAAATTAAGAAGACGGGTCTCGTCCACACTTTTGTTTTGCACAGCAATCTACACTTTAGTATTGAAAAATGAAAACCCTTTTCAAATATTAGTTTTCTATCTTTTTAAAAAGTTATAAAAGAAGCCGTATCTAACTAATCTAACTTTCATTTGACTTTCATATGAGTATACTAAAAAAGTTATGTACTTTTATCTTTACAATAATTATTTTATCAAAAGTGGAACGGTCAATAGATCTGCTCTGCAGATCAATTATAGCTAGCATTTATGCAAATAACATCAAATTTTTGCGGTATGCGTTTCGATAGTAGGTAGGTATTTTTTTTAGTTTTAACGTCGCTCTTTTCTTTATATTTAATCAATCTATAGAAATCTCACTGCTTTCTAATAAGATTCAAGGTATGCATATTAAGAGTGAATCTTTTGGAAAGAGATTTGAGAAGCTGAGAAGTAGCATGAAATGTTTCACACTCTCTTCGAACTAGAACACAGAAGCTGGTGTAGAGCTGTTTGCCGGCACAAGTAGGCAAAAGAGTGCTACCAAACTTCAGAAAACTAAATATTTAGATTTCTGTGTACCATACTACACAAACGAAATATAAAACAGAAACGGAACCTTCTAGATATATTAAAGATAAACAAATATATAAGGTATAAAGATAAAGATGACTTTTAATGTTATGTAGTAAATCTGGCGGTATCAAGTATCTATTATAACTTACCATTACAGAAAAAAATTATTAAGCTAAATTCATTTTAGTATTTTTGCAAAATTATATCAGTAATTGAATATTTTTTATAAAATAAAGGTGAAACAACAAGCGTTTTTACGTGGTAGAGCCATGCTGCAGTTATATTAGTTGTATAGTTATAGCAGGAATTTGTCGGCTCGACCGGGGAGGGACCACGCTCTCACAGAATACCAGCGTCAAATATTAGCTTAATGCTGTTGTGTTTCGTATGGTGGTGTAGAGAACCGGAGACCCTTTTTACTCACGGGTGACAACGCAACTGCATCTTGATTCGTAATCGAGGACAGATGTAGATGTCTATATGCCACAGCAACCACTTACCATCAGATGGACTGTGTGCTCGTTTGTCACCCTATCCTATAAAAAATGCACATAATCTAATTGATAGTAAGTCGATACTGTGACCCATGGATATATAAATCTTTCCGTTAATGTAAAAAAATACATTTGATTTTTCTTGGATTAAAATTCAAAATGCAGAATGCGATGTCACTCCTGACAATTTACGTGGAAAGTACAGCGTATTCCTGCATACTCCTCGTCACGATTAAAAATAAACTTTTTTTCTCTATACTGCAGCATTATATATGGTGCTATTTGTTATTTACGTTGATACTCTGTGAAAGAGTGGATCTTCCCCGGTTGTAACGACCAACTCTTGCTGTAAATGTACCCTTACAGGTACCTTATAAAATAAAGCTATTTTTACGGATTTTATCTTATTTCATTTATTTTTATTTGTATCTCCTGACGTTTCGAGTGCTTTACAGTAGAGTACCAATAGTCCCGGAATGTGTAAGTTTATATAAAATGTGCAGTGATGTTTGCGTAAATATTTTTACATTTTTTTTACTTTCACGAATATTTCTGATAAAATTAGACATCGGTTCAGATTAAATGTTGGAATCAAAGATTTATATAGTTATATAAATCCTTGGTTGAATAAATAAACTGTTTGAATAAACTACTTTTGTTTAAAAAACAGTTTTAAACATATGTCTGTCTTTGTAATATAGAATTTTGCTGAGGTTTGTACGTAATAAAAAAAAGTTTTACTCAGTAAAACATCGCTCCATGCCATTGTTAAAAAAAACAAAAGCAATAATGAATCAAATGTAACAGGAAACGTAATCATTATACGAGTATGTAATAATAATAACTTATTTTGTAAAGCATCCATTAATTATCATTATTAATTTCGGAATGTATTAAACATGTTCACATCACGGTTTAATTATTACCTGAACTAACGTATGAAAGGACTACGTGAATCAATACGCTACATTACACGATTTTCCGATATATATGTACCTACCTTCGTAATAAATATTATTTTATGCGAGCGTTAGCTTTGCTATATGTGCTTTGGGTCGAACATGTCCCCGGGGAAACTGCCATCTTTCTTTCATTCGATCTAGTTCTGTCCGTGATAACTAAGATCGTACCATTTGTTACCTTTTATTTAATAAAATATTCTTATTCCTTTTGCTTATCCTTGGCTCTCCAAGACTTGGCTTTGGTAGATTGATTTAACCCTAGAACCGTACCCATAATAGACTTTAAATAACAGTACCCAGGGGTTCTAGTGTACCCCGTTAAATAAAACATTTTTTTACATAAGAATAGACATTTATTAATAATAAACATACATAGTCTTTTATGGTACTTATTTCAGTCTCACGTTACATAATTAAACAAAAAATTAACAAACTTAAATTAACAATTTTGGCAAATCTTTTTTTGGTGCTCTAAACATATAAAACTTTTACATTTTTCACATCGAGTGCGTGATTTACGGTCTTTTGACCTGGAACAAAATGAACATCTACCAGATTTTGAATCTGAAGGTAATGGAGCACTAGAAGGTCGTGTTTTTTCTAAAATACCGCCAATACTTATTTGTAGATGCATAGGCAAAGTTTTATATAAAAATCGGTCCTCCAAATAAGGTTTTATAAGGTCAAAAAGCTAAGGCCTTCAGAAAACTCCGTCTGTTCTTGAAAACTTGTTTACCATTGGCTTTTGATGAATGCAGTAATATTATGGAGTTAATTCCCACAATGTTCAAAATTCCGTAGAATACACAAAGGCTCCAGCGACAAGTTTTGCGAGAAATACTGTATGTATGACAAAGCTGATCAAAAGTGTCCACTCCTCCTTTCGTTTGATTATAAAAACTTATTATTTCTGGTAAATCAACAGATTTGTCTTCGTCTGGTTGATAGTGCATAGTAGAAAGCATAATCACGTTTTTCTTTTTTTCCTTTACTTAGCTTTGGAGGCACATATGATAACAAAGTAAGTTCGTCATGAACAGCAAACATTGATGTGTTCTTGAGGCGGTTTGTGGTTTCCAAAAAATGAGTAGGGATTTCTGTTTTGTTTCTTTTCATTGTTCCAACTGTTGTAACATTTTTGGTTAAGAGTTTTTCGGCAGCAGGGATTGAAGTAAACAAGTTATCGTGCGTGATATTTCTATTAGACCCATGAATAGAATTTGAAAGCTCCAATGCGTAATACTCAGCCACTGGTAATTCACGTGGTGTAGAATCTTTTCCAGTGTATATTATACTATTTATCATATAATAAGATTTTGCATCACAAAACATTAACAGTTTTATTCCATATTTATCGGGTTTTGACGGAATATACATACGGAATGGGCATCTAACGCGAAACCCAAGTAATTGCTCGTCAATCGTTGTGCAATCTGAAGGTGAATAAAGACTTTTTGAAATTTCAACAATGTGATGAAACAGTTCTTTTATTGGTGCCAATTTACTATGTTGTCTTATTTCAGCTCTGGTCGAACGATTATCAAATCGAAGACAATTTGTCAAAAATTCGAATCTTTTCTCACTCATAGTAGACCGAAAATAGTTGATGCCCGTATTTTTATCTAATACTTCTTTGACAGACAAGTGATTAATTTTTAAAACTGCAGGTAAATAGTATAAGCCAAAGAGAGCTTTTAATTCGGTTACGGTTACATCTCGGACAAAAGAAGGTCGAATACTCGTAGGAACAGAATTATCATCATCATCATCATTTTGAGATGCTATTGGCCTGTCTGACTTATACTTCTTGCGCTGTTCAGATATCTTAAAATTAGTATTAGTTACTATCATATGCAAAATCTTATCCGTAAAAAATAATTTCCAACTGTCTAAGGCACTGGTAGTAAATTTAGCAAGAGCTTTATTTCCTGGTGCATGAAATATTATATTTCTTTGTGGAGTACGCGAGGAACGGCGACGAGTCCCATACCATAGAAATTTTTCGCTAGTTCTTTGCTTTTTTGTTCCTTTACCTCGCAAAACTTCGGGTACTGTAAGAACTGTTACTACAGAATTTGTGATTCTAACCTGGACAATATCCTCTCAACTTCTTCTTCCGAACTTTCAAGATCTGTTTCATGGTTAGAGCCATCCTCTTCGACAGGAACCTGTTCATCGCGAAAATCGGGAATAATTTCATCCAGTTCATCTTCTAATTCATCCCCAAGAAACACTTCATCTTCATCACGAACGTCCAGTAGGAGGTTTTGAATTTCATTTTCTGAAAGGTTTTTTCTTGACGCCATCTAAAAAGAAGAATTACAAAAAAATTCGTTACTAAACAAAATAACGTAAATAAAATTGTATAAATATTGCAAATAAATATTAAGTACAAACACATCGTATGCAGACAAAGTTACTTCTAAGGTTGCAATGTTAAAATTAAAATCATGAATCAAACAAAAAAAATAGCATAGCTGTACCCAGGGGTGCTGGAGTACCCCACACACGCGTTGCCACGATCGCACGCTAACAGAACTCGCGCCCGACTGATGCTTCGACACAACCCCCGACCCCCATAAATACGCGCCGGTGCGAAAAGATCCGTTTTAAAACAAAAAAGTTATAGTCAATTTTAAAAATATTTTTTCAGTTGTACCCCAGGGTACGGTTCTAGGGTTAATATGTAAGCCTATAGTTTTTTTAGAAAGAAAGTAAGCAATAATATAAACATTGTATTAAGATTTGCTTACATACGTAATATGCGGGATCTACTTACATAATGTCTTCGTTACACTAAAACACTTTAATCTATTATTTATTCTGCATTATTTCATCGCTCTAATCTAATCTATTAAATTTATAAAATTACACTATTTCCGTGCCGCGGTAGCTCAGATGGTCAGCGCTCGCTGTAAATTTCACAATACGCGAGCAAACCGGGTTCGATCCCCGCCGGCACCAATGAAATTGTTAATTGCAATTTTAAGTGCTGACTTACCACGTGCTCGACGGTGAAGGAAAACATCGTGAGGAAACCTGCATGTCTGAGAAATAAGAAAAAAAATATATTTCAAAGATATGTGAAAGTTCGCCAACACGCATTGGGGCAGCGCGGCAGACTATTCCTCGCCCTAAAACCCTCTCAGAAATGAGAGGAGGCCTGTGCCCAGCAGTGGGACGTGTATATAAGCTGTAACTTCACTTTTTACTTTTTACACTATTTCATTTCTACGCTACGCTCTGTTTTAGGATAGAGACGATTTATTTTAGGTTCTTTTGATTGTGTCGATAGAGACAAAATTGTTTCGTTGTAATATGTACCTACTTATAAATAAAATAAATTAAATAAGAATTACAGATGGGCCGAATGTGGATTTCACCGAATACTAATATTCGGCCAAAGGTTCGGTAAAACTTTTACCGAACCGAATATTTTGCCGAACATTACTCGGTAGGATCACCTCGGTACCTAGTCAATTTATGTCAAAACTTGTTACCCAAAGTAGTGATTAGCGCCGGCCCCTGCCCCTCGCTCCCCGCCACACCTGACATGTTATTGCATCGTCTAGTGCTGAGCAAATTGCCGGCACATACTAATTATGTTTTGCCTATTTTTGGGGAAAAAAATATTTCGTTTTGATATTCTTAGTGAAAATTGATATTTATATGATAAAAATGAATCGAAAAAGATCTACTATTTGACTTATTTTAGAGAAACTGACGACCAAAGTAAAGTGAAATGTACTAATGTAATGTACTTAATGTTTCTTTGTTTGATTCCAAAAACGTTTCATCAATCTTTCTATTTGCTATAATTGGAAATAAATCTATGCAAAATCTACGCTATGCAAGTATAATTTCAACAAAAAAATTATGAAAGATATGGCATAACTCAATTCGTACATTTCAATAAAAAAGTGGACACTTTGAGTACCACTTTAATGAATGTTCGGCGATTTAGCCGAATACGAATATTCAGTATAGCTGCCGGATATGCCGAATATAATATGAAACGAATGTTTGGCCCATCTCTAATAAGAATATGTTTATTTTTTTGTGTGTATGGAAACGAATTTGAATGTCATAAAATTTTAGTGAGAATTTTTTGAAAAATGTCTGAATAGCGTGCGAATAACACCCTGAGCTTAATAGAAGCCAGTTATTTCAATACTATAGACAAGGATTTTAATTTTATTTATACGTAGATAATGTATAGATTACAATGTAAATGATGTAAAATTATTGTCGCAACAACGGGCCATAGAATTTAGAAGCGGTATCCAGAACAAATTCATAAATGTGATTTTACGTTTTTGCTGGCGGGAAATTTTTGGTGACTTCGTCTTCAAAAATTTATAGACGCTTTTATAATTTTGTCTTCATTTCTCCGACGGACGACTTATGGGGAGACAGTTTGTACAGCAATAAAAGCTATTATTCATGGACCAAATCACAATCTTGATTAGAAAGCGGGGTGATTTTAGTACCGGGGTAGAGGGTCGAGAGCCCTCTCGTACTGTAAATCGCGGTACACTTACGCAAAGACCTTATCCATCCAACGCTTCTTTTGATCTCGATAGAGTAAAATATTTTAAGAATCTCCGTCTAAGCTGTGTTCAATTTATTAAATTATATTTTAATAAAAGTTTGAAGCAAACATTTTGTTATTATTATTAGAGATGGGCCGAATATTCGTTTAGTATTCGGTATTCGGCACATTATTCACTATTTGTATTAGGCCGAATTATTCGGTTTTGATGCCGAATATATTCGGTTCAAATATTAAAATTTTCTTATCTTACCTATTTATTGTACGCAGACTACACAGTATAGAAAATAACACAGAACTTCTGTAGTAAGATTTACGTTAAAACAAAGATGCTAGTTTTATTCTTAAGTTTGCAGTGTATGAAGAATCTGTTGGAGATGGGAATAAAATAAAGCAAATAAACCTCAAACCAAAATTTTTTTGTAAAACACTCACGTGGCAAATTGTAACTTCTTATGTAAGATTATAACATATAAAAACACAATCGAAAGAAAAATTAATATTTTAGTATTTGTTATTTCTCAAGGGTAAGTTATGGTGCAGAAACACCAAGCTCTCAGTCCTCTTTGGCAACACAGTCTATTGCGTTTCTCCTTGTAAAGGCTTCCTGGTTCTGAAAATAATCTTTCGCTGTAGACACTACTACCAAGAACACTTATGATCCTCTAAATGTGCGTATTTAAACTTATACTTTGTCCACCAATCAAAAGGGCTCTGATTTCTAGCCAGAAGACTTTCAGCTACAAAAATATCCAATTCCACGGCAATTGGGCATTTAGGATGTTCCTAAATGACAGAGTTCGTCAAGGCAAATTCTTCATAACAGTTCTAAAATGCTATATGCGATTCCTCTAAAAAAATTGTAACATCTTGTAGAGGTTTTCTCCTGTTTATTTCAATTTCATATTTGCTTGAGCTTTCAGCACCAGCGTCGCTTCTTTGGCTTCTAGCAAAAGCTATGTTCTTATTATTTCGCATTTTTCGGAAGTAAAAAATCTTATTCTAAATCTGGGGTTAAACAATTTAGTAAAGCAATATTATTTGTATTCTTCCAAATTTCGAAAATGGCTCAGAAGTTCTTCTTGTAGCTTCAGTACCATTGATGGTATATTGGGACATATTTGTGAATTTTCGGGCTTTGTTAAAAAAAATTCAGAGTTACTGAGGATCCTGGGAATCACTTCAGAAATTGATGAAAATGTAGAGCTGGTAATTTTGGGGATTTCTTCAAGCAGTTTTAATTCAATCAGACATTCTTTGAGAATCAGCCACGGTCTTTCAGTACAGGTTTGTATATTTACTGTGCCAAGAATTGTCCGAAATGTAAAGTGAAATCGCACGTTTTGTTCAGCGATTTTGTTCAACATATAATATGTGCTGGTCACCTCGTTGTGACGTCCTGTACAAGCTGATGCCTAATATTTATGTACAATATTTAACATTATGTGTGTATTGAAGCTCAGAAAGCTAAGCATGTTGTTTTAGCAAGTCCACAATCCACATATCAGATGTAATCAAAACAGCCTTGGCTTTTGAGATTTCATCCTTGATAAATTTTTTCACTCTTTCATAAATCGCCAGATTCATTACTTCGTTCATATACTTCCTTTCAGGCAACTTAGACTTCAATAAATGCAATAATCCTTTATTTTCAGAATTAAAATGGCTGATGTTAGTGGCAATCATTTCAGCGATGGCGTTATTAATTTCCTTTGATCAAGGGTATGTTATGTACCGATTTGTAATAAATGCCTGCTCTATAGATTGTTGTGATTTTACACTCGACATTGTTGACAAAAAGTATCTGATTTCTTATATTTACGCGAACACTACACATTGAAATAATACTAGTTTTTACGGAATTTATCGCGTATATTTAACTTTTTAAATACCAGACGTTTCGAACGCTTTACAGCACTCGTGGTCACGGGCAGGACTGAGATGTTCAACGTCCATATGTCATAGTTAACCGCGGTTACCATAGATTAAAATTTAACTTTTGTTCCGATCTATACAGTATGAACTTATGGTATCTTGAATTCTTGCAGTTGTATGTTTGGGTTAGGATTTAATTTTATTTATTATAGGATCCCAAGCAGATGGTAGCACCCAGCCATCTTCTCTAATTGAAATTAGGATGTTTTTTGATTTCAATAGCCTCGCGAATCATCCTTGGAAGGAATAGGTGTTCTTTAGCGAGGATTTGCGGTCTACCAAATCTGATGTAGTGACGTGGGCGATCCTGTACGTGTTCACAGACTGCAGACTTCCCGGAGCGTCGATTATTCACATCAGCTATATGTTCTGTAACGCGGGTTTTTATTGATCTTTTAGTTTGTCCTATGTAGGAGAGACCACATTCACAATCAAGCTTGTACACTCCAGCATCTAGCAGAGGGACATTACACTTGACTGATGGTAAAAACTAACCAATCTTCTTCAGCGGTTTTTGAAGTATGTTTTGATGGAAGCGCGCTTCAAGATGTAGCCAATCTTGTCAGTGACTCCTCTAACATATGGCAGTACAGCAGGTACACGCTCGACTGTGGCCGGCTTCACTCGTTCACTGTGACGTAGGCGCGGGACTCGAAGCTTGTTGTCATGCAAAACTTGCTTGATATGGTGGAGCTCGGCAGCCAGGTGTTTACTGTCACAGATCCCTCGTGCTCTCTGAAACAAAGATTTACCCACGGTAGCTAACTGTGAAGGATGATGGTGAGAATCACCGTTTAAATATCTATCTGTAATGGGTCT